CAATTCTGCTCTTCTTTTCAGGTTGCCTTGTCAAGCCCTGGGTTATCTGAATTTCCAAATAAACTGCAGAAGCAGTTTGTCAATCTCCACCAAAAATCTTGCTGGGTCTTAGACTGGGTTTGCATTGATTATACAGATCAAACTGAGACGAATTGATGTCTTAGAAGTAATGGGTCTTCCAATCAATGAGCGTGTTATATCTTTCATTTATTTAGATCTTCTTGCACTGCTATACTAGTAGTTGTGCTAGTATCAATGTAGCACTCTTGGACATATTCTGTTTAACTTACATATATAAAATGTAGCTTATGGATTTTGCTTAGATTTTCTACAGCAGTATAATGAAAGCCACATATGTAATCTTAATTTTTCCGCATCTACATTAAGTAAAAAGAAACTTAATTTTAATATTTTCAGATCTCCAAATTATTAACATTTCAAAATGCAATTAATATAAAATTAGTAATGCTTACCTTTGGGGGGGTACTGTCTTGAAAATCCAATGTGTATCTTATACTTAAAGTGCACCTAATTAGCTACATTTCAAGTGCTGACCAGTCAGTGGCTAGCACTACTGTGTTGGACAGGACACGTCTATAGCCTTTCTTACGCTTTCTGTCCAGCTGACCTGTTTGCACTGACACCAGATGTGTTGAAGTCTTCTACTACTACTGGGTTTCTATTTCTCCTTGTATCTCCTGTAATCTCTCCTTTATATGATTTTTGTGTTATATAATGATTATAATGATTTCTGTGTTATTTAGTGCCTGGATAGTTTTAACTATTATATCTTCATTGGATTTAGCATTATAATTGTCATTCTTTGTCTTGCTTCAGTGCTTTTTGGCCTGAAGGTAACAAGATCATAACCCTTGCTTTCCCTTTCCTTCCATTTGCAAGGTAAATCTTTTCCAGCCCTGAATTTTTATACCTTTTCAGTGACTGTCTAATTGTACACAGCACAGACTTTCATTTTGCTTTTCAAGCCAATATGAAAATCTTTTTAAAACATGAATTAACATTTATAGATACAACTCATATTTTGGTCCCAACACTGTTATTATTTTATAATTATGGTATTACAATGGTATTATTTCTATGCTCTAACAGGTCTTTTTTTTTTCTTCTGGTATTTAGAAAGCTTTGTATTCTTGTGCCTGTTATTTCTATTTTGCTTTGTTTTTAAAAGTCTGTTTTATCAGAATCTGTCTTGAAGTTGACATTGTTCTGGGTCAATTTTTTCAGCTAGCTGGTGTTTCTCAGCTATTCTTCAATGCCTTTTTAAACTACTCATTTGAGTCTATTCTTCCTTCAGCATCTTGTAATTTTAGTCTTCATTTCTGATCTGACTGTCATTTTCTTCTGTTCTCGCATTGAGTTCAATCAACCATCCTTTCTTTTTGTCTTTTTTTTCATTTCTGCTCTTCTTTAAAAAAAACCTTCCGATTCAAGGCTACTAAAACCTAGACAATAATTTTACTTCTTCTTTTCTTTTAGGTTTCTGCATTAAAATGTTCTACATCAAGCCAATTAAATATAAAGGTTCTATCAAGAAGGGAGAAAAACTTGGCACTGTGCTGCCCTTGCAGAAAGTTTACCCTGGAATACAATCCCACATACACATTGAAAACTGTGACTTGAGTGATCCTACTGCTTACCTATAGATGGAAGACAAGCCAATCTTCAAAAAAGACAGCCATCTTCTTAAAACCTAGGCACCTATCCTGCTTTTCAATAAATTCGTGGTCAAATAGAACATGATGAATGAAAGAAAGAAAAAAGCATTTTGATTTCAACTCATTGCCACTTTGATGTTTTGAGGGTCAGTTCATTTCTCAGGTCTGATCTGTAACCTATGGGATCAGGGGTATGTTTTTTCTTAAAGATTCCTCAGTCCTAAATAAATAGGATAAACAAACATACAATTTCAAACTGGTGCCAACAGCAATGTTGACATTTCTAAAACTAGCTTTCTGCTTGAAAATAAGAAAAAAACCTTAAGTGTTTTTAGGGCATAAGATTAGAGTGTTGTATAATGCTAGACACACAAAGTTCATAAATACCAAGGGAATAAACTCAAGGCTTCTTTTGAGTTAAGGCAGTAAAGAATTTCAGGAATACCCTTAGGTTTTGGTATTGGTATACCCAACCACTTTGGTCGTTGGAGGGTGAAGGGTTTACATGGATATGACAGAATTTGCCAGTCTTGACATCCACACATTCCCAACACTCTATATAAGTTGTCGATCTTCCAGGTAATGAATGATAGCAGTCCAAGGGAATATGGAACATTGATTTCAGAAAGTCTACATTATAAGGAATACTAAAAAGAAAAAGAGATCTACCCTGACCTGAAGTATCTCATGCAACCAAGTCCGTCAGCCTCATTGAGCCATATGCCTGTAACAGCTACTTATTTTTACACATCATTGTATATCCTTATGATTCTTTCCTGGTTATGCTGACAACAGGTATAAGTGGGAAATAAGACCATATGACTATTCAAAGGACCAGAAATAATACGGCTCTGTAGATCTTAGTCAGTAAGAAATGAGTGAGGTGAATTCCTCCTTCTGGAAACTTTCTTCATGAATTTCTGCTTAAACTTTCTGGAATGTAGAAAACTCCAGTTGAATGACTCCATTACTAACTAGTGTAGCTATGCTATTGGAAATGTAGTCAACTGAACTTGTTTCCTAGAGAGAAGGGGCTGCATTGGTATACTAGCACCTATGTACAAGAATGTTCATGATATTACTACCTGTCATAGCAAAACCCAGAACAACTCAAATGCCTGTCAACAGTCAGATGGACAAACTGTGGTTTCATTACAGAATGGAATATTATACAGCAATCATAATAAATGAACCTCAGCTAAACATAACAAAATAGATGAATCATTAAAAAAGCTCAAAAGAACATATAGCATGATACTATTTTATAAAGCAAAAACAGAATTTTTAGGAACACATGTATATATGATAAAAACATATAAAAAGGAAATCAAGCAAATAATAAACACTAGTTATCTCAGGACTGGATAGGGAAGGACCACACAGAAAAATTTGTTACTATCAATGCTGTAGTTTTATCATTGGGAGGTGACTTCACGAGTATTTATCATTATGAATAAGATGTTACAGAGGCAATGGGACTCAGGTTGGTATCCAGGAAGACGACTCACTGGTGGCTCTCAGGTAGTTTAGAGTCTATACGACACCATCAGTACTTTCTCATATCTGGTTAGATACTACTCTCTACTGTGTCATAACATCTTATACAAGGCTAGCAAATTAAGACTTTACGTTTTGGTTAAAAAGAAGAAAACTGTAACTGGCACTGCCTGGTTTGATCATCTACCTTATTCATCTCCCTAGTGCCAAATAACTTTAGGTCATTCCCAAAGATTACATTTCTCTTCAAAAAACAAAGTCTGTGCTCCCATTGAGATCACAAAAAAGGAAATAGCATACAGATTTCAAAGGCAATTTTAAAAGGAGCTCTAAAATTTTTGAACAATGAAATATACACTTAGCCTTCTAAATAATCAACCTTCTGAAGTGACTGTTTTAGAAACCAGACTCCCTACCCGGAACAGATGGCTTCTCCAAGGCAGAGTAAAATTGCTGCTTTCTGCCTCGCCTCCCACAGGCAGGCACGCTCATATCTGTTGACCGCAAATGCGAACTTCAGACTCAAGGACTTCTTTCCTCAGAATCACTAGAATATAGCGCCCTCTAGTGCACTGTACCAGAAGGTTGTTTCGTTTTCTTAATTTCCTTTCCCTTTAGGTTTGAGTGTTAAAATGTTCAGTCTAAAGTATTGCACAGGTTCAAATGACAGGGAGGTAACAGCACCGAGTAACTTAATTTCATTATTGAAGGTGATTATAACACATACGTAAAATTTTGGTGTCAGATATTAGCTTAAATCGGAGAAGGCAACGGCAACCCACTCCAGTACTCTTGCCTGGAAAAATCCCATGGACAGAGGAGCCTGGTGGGCTGCCATCTACGGGGTTGCACAGAGTCAGACACGACTGAAGCAACTTAGCAGCAGCAGCATTGGCTTAAATGACTATAAAATCCATCTTTATTTAGAGTATGTTTTTAGTTTTCTGAAAGTAAGTAATTTAATGAAAGAACAAGATAAGTGGTCAATTTAAGAAGCCAGAGCTGGACAGGAAGAGTTACTACATTCTTGTGACAACATTTATCACACTCAGAGCATATTAACAATAACATATGACTTTAAAAGCTGCCTAGAATATGTACAAATGTGCTCTGACTAGGGGGTGCACGGCAGTTTTAAGGAACTGAAAGAGGATGAGAACAGCAGGGCCAAGGGCACCTGGTGGGAGGAAACAAGGTCAAAGAAGCAGGGAGAAGCCAGAACCTGGAGGGTCTGATGGGTCATTTTAAGGACACATATTCATCTTAAAGGCAATAAACCGTAGCCATTGAAGAGTTTTGGTTGTGTTACTAATTAAACAACCACTTCTGCAAAGGATCTGGTATAGTTTCAAATACACAGTAAATATATCCAGTAAATGCTGACTCCCTCACAAACACCCTCTAAAAATTTTACTTTTTATCTCAGTAGTGTATTTAACCAGTTACAATCACAGGATCTTTATAAAATGAATTAGGGTTATTTAATGTTAATGTTAGAGAAGGAAATGGCAACCCACTCCAGTATTCTTGCCTGGAGAATCCCATGGACGGAGGAGCCTGGTGGCTACAGTCCATGGGGTCGCAAAGAGTTGGACACGACTGAGCGACTTCACTTTCTTAATGTTAATCTAATGCCCATTTTCTCCCAAGTTAGTACAACAAAGTAGAATTCAAAATCCACTAGAAATTACAAGTTATTTACTGAATCATAACATGATCTTATATACCGCTAAAAAATAGAGTACAATTAAGCCAGCCTCTGTATCTCTTGTAAAGTGTATTAATACCAAGATGAAACAGAAACAATTAACAATATAAAATCGGAAGTGACATAATTTAAGGGATCCAAAGCTCAATATTACAAATTTATTTAGCAAGTCAAAATACGCCTTCAAGGAAGGCTGAGGAACTTAACTAGAAACCGACTGTTTCTATCAACTATCTAACCCACCATACAGTGTCTGTGCTCTAGTTATGATTTCTGTCTTTTCAAATCTCTCATAGTTTCTCAAATGCTTCTGCCATAATCCATTAAGACAGTTTGTAAACAATACAAGATTTCATCTAACACATTCCAGCAATGCATCTTAAAATTTACATTTGCATAGACAGAAAGAAGCTAATCTTACAGATTTTTTTTAAAAAGTTAATAATCTTTGGTTCAGTAGTCAATTACCAGAGAGGCATGACATCAGGAAACCATATTCTTCCCAGGTATTTGGAGACTTCAGTGTGAATTTCATCTAGGCTATAAACATCATCAGGTATCAAAACTTCCTCCATGATAGAGAGGTGGGTTAGCTTTCTCCCACACAGTCTCACAAACTCAATGAATGCACTGCAGCTAACTTCACATTCACTGAGGCCCAAGGCTGTTAAGTTTTTACAGTGTTCAGCAATACAAATAAGTTCATTATCAATGACCTGAAGACCATTAGCACATACAACTAACTCTATTAGTCGGGGACAGTTAAGACCTAGCCGTCCTAGAATCTCTTTGCTGACTGAATGACAAAAATAAAGATGAGTAACAGGGGTTTCTTCTCTGAAGAACGTCTCCATTTCCTCTTCATATAAAAAGAAGTACATAACAACATTCACTCCAGGAGAGTGTTTAGTAAGTGCATCCCAACTTTGTCTTTTAATAGAATGAAATTCGACTTGTCCAGGATTTTCACTCACAACATCTATTCGAAGATGCTCAAGGTTAACATGAGTCTCATTTGAAAGCGCCAGGAGAAGTTCATCACTTAGCATGTAATAATTCAATGCCAGTTCTCTAAGACCTTGACAATGATCAGCTACACAAAGGATTCCTGCAGGAAATGGGGGAAAAATCCTTAAACACAAAGAGTATGGATACTCACACAACATTTTGTGAATTTAAATTTGTATCAGTTATTTCCTAGAATAGACATATAATGATTTCTGAGGAGATGGATGTTGATATATATAATTTGCATGCAAATCTGTATTTGTATGTGTGTGTGTGGGGGGGGTATAAATAATTGTGTGCATATGTATACTTAGTCATGTCTGACTCTTTTGCAACCCCATGGTCTGTAGACCTCCAGGCACCTCTGTCCATGGAAATTCCCAGGCAAGAATTCTGGAGTGGATTGCCATTTCCTTCTCCAGGGGATCTTCCCCATCCAGGGATCAAACTCCAATCTCTTCTGTCTCCTGCACTTGCAGGCAGATTTTTTACCACTGCATCACCCTGAAAAGTCCCATATATATATAATTATACATACAATAAAAAATATATAAGTAAGATACTCTTAGGAAAAGCAATTTAAACTATATCTAGCTTACATCAATACACTGAGTTCTTTTGAAAGAAAGATTAATGAATTACATCTCATAAGCATATAGTGCTCAACAGGAAATTGTATTACTACTATTACTATAATAAAAACATCATATAAGCTTAAAAATATAACCTACCATCAGATGAAACATGAGGACAGCTACTCATTTTTAGGCGTCTTAGAGTATCACTATTATTGGCCACAAGAATGCTCAAAGAAGGATCATCCACTGGCGTGTCTTCAATTTTGATTGATGACAATGATTTTGAGTTAACAAAAAGAACTGTAAGTGCTGACACAAAATGAGACTACCATGGCAATAAGAAAAAATTATAAAAACATTATTTTAAAATCTACAGCTGCAATAATTTCATCAAAACTATTCATTAATATATAAACATATGCTTATAATAACATAATAAAAGTGATCAACATATTATTGCTTTTCACAGTGCCATTAGCCAGGAGAAATAGCGAAGTATAGTTTTATTACTTTTATCATTGCTAAATGGAATAGTGAGAAGGGAAGAAGTTTCAAAGATTTCAAAAACACATCTTCCAATTATTTTCAATCTTAAGGATTTATTTTTCAACATTAAAAGGATATAATCTTATGTATTTCCTAGAATAGAGGTTGGCAAGCTATGGTCCACTGGCCAAGTCCAGTCCACTTTATCGTATGGTTCATGAGTTAAGTATGAAAAGTGTTAGTCACTCATTCATGTCTGATTCTTTGCGACTCCACGGACTGTAGTCCACCAGGTTCCTCTGACCACAGAATTCTCCAGGCAAGACTACTGGAGTGGGTCGCCATTCCCTTCTCCAGGGTATCTTCCAGACCCAGGGATCGAACCCAGGTCTCCTGTGTTGCAGGTAGATTCTTTATCATCTAAGCCACTGCATGGTTTTTACATTTTCAAATAGTTCAAAGAAAATTTTTAAAGAGGAATACTTTGTGGTATGTAACAATTAAGTGAAGCTCTTTCAGGGGCCATAATTAAAGTCTGACTGCAGTGCGGGACTCATCTATGCACTGCTATGTCTGCCTTCACACTACAGTGCTAGAGGTGAGCAGAATGATACGACCCACAAAGCCTGAAATTTACTATCTGGACTGAGTCAACACCCTAGTCTAGAATAAATAAATTCTTATCTGTTTTATTCATTCCTGTATTTCTAGCACCTAAAATAGTATCTGGCACATAGTAAAAGTCAACATTTACTGTTGATGAATAAATGATGTCATATTCTTCAGAGACTTTTTTTTCTAGCAAATTATCTAAACAAAGATACATTTTGAAAACTTTCTGTTTTGAAGATTGACAAACAAAAGTTTAGTTACAGTTTGACTTCATAATGGGTGGAATTCAGAACTTTTCAGATCCAGTATTTTTCGACAGATAGAAAGTCTAGAAAACAAATCTATGCATTTTCCTTTTCAAAATCAACTTGGATTCTATCAAAGGCTCTATTGTCCTATCAGAATGACCAAATTGGTTATACATCCTAATTCCTTTACAAGAAAACAATGGTTTATACTATTGTAAACTAGTTGCACGAATTCTCAAATGGTGGACAGCTAAACCTCTTTACTCAGCTTTGATGTTGTTGTCCAGTCGTGCACGATTCTTTGTGACCCCATGGACTGCAGCACACCAGGCCTCCCTGTCCTTCACCATCTCCCAAAGTTTGCCCAAGTTTGTGTCCACTGCATCAGTGATGCCATTCAGCCATCTCATTCTCTGACACACTCTTCTCCTTCTACCCTCAATCTTTCCCAGCATCAGGGACTTCAATGAATCAGCTGTTCACATCAGCTCAGTTCAGTTGCTCAGTCATGTCCAACTCTTTCCAACCCCATGGGCTCCAGCACGCCAGGCTTCCCTGTCCATCACCAACTCCCAGAGCTTGCTCAAACTTATGTCTGTCCAGTCAGTAATGCCATCCAACCATATCACCCTCTGTCATCCCCTTCTCCTCCTGCCTTCAATCTTTCCCAGTATCAGGGTCTTTTCCAAGGAGTCACTTCTTTGCATCAGGTGGCCAAAATATTGGAGTTTCAGCTTCAGCATCAGTCCTTCCAATGAATATTCAGGACTGATTTCCCTTAGGATTGACTGGTTTTATCTCCTTGCAGTCCAAGGGACTCTCAAGTCTTCTCCAACACCACAGTTCAAGCGCATCAATTCTTTGGAAATCAGCTCTCTTTATAGTCCAACTCTCACACCCATACATGACTACTGGAAAAACCAGAGCTTTGACTAGAAGGACCTTTGTTGGCAAAGTAATGTCTCTGCTTTTTAATATGCTGTCTAGGTTGATCACAGATTTCCTTCCAAGGAGCAAGCGTCTTTTAATTTCATGGCTGCAGTCACCATCTGCAGTGATTTTAGAGCCCAAGAAAATAAACTCTTGTCACTGTTTCCATTGTTTTCCCATCTGTTTGCCATGAAGTGATGGGACCGGATGCCATGATCTTAATATTCTGAATGTTGAGTTTTAAACCAGCTTTTTCACTCTCCTCTTTCACTTTCATCACAAGGCTCTTTAGTTCCTCTTCACTTTCTGCCATAAGGGTGGTATCATCTGTATATCTGAGGTTATTGATATTTCTCCCAGCAATCTTGTTCCAGCTTGCACTTCATCCAAGCTGGCATTTTGCATGATGTACTCTGCATATAAGTTAAATAAGCAAGGTGACAATACACAGCCTTGACATACTCCTTTCCCAATCTGGAACCAGTCTGTGGTTCCATGTCCAGTTCTAACTGCTGCTTCTTGACCTGCAAACAGATTTCTCAGGAAGCAGGTAAGGTGGTCTAGTATTCTCATCTCTTGAAGAATTTTCCACAGTTTGTTGTAATCTATACAGTCAAAGGCTTTGGTATAATCCATAAAGCAGAAGTAGATGCTTTTCTGGAATTCTCTTGCTTTTTCTCCAAAATACTGGAGCTTCAGCTTCAGCATCAGTCCCTGCAATGGGTATTCATAGTTGATTTTCCTTAAGATTGATGGGTTTGATCTCCTTACTGTCCAAGGGACTTTTAGGAGTCTTCTCCAGCACCATAGTTTGAAGGCATCAATTCTTTGGCGCCCTGCCTTCTTCACGGTCCAGCTCTCACAACCATACATGACCACTGGGAAGACCACTATACAGACCTTTGTCAGCAGAGTGATGTCTCTGCTTTTCAACACACTGTCTAGGTTTGTCATAGTTTTCCTGCCAAAAAGCAATCATCTTCTGATTTCATAGCTGCAGTCACCATCCACAGTGATTTTAGAGCCCATGAAGAGGACATCTGACACTACTCCCACCTTTTCTCCTTCTCTTTGCCATGAAGTAATGGGGCTGGACGCCACGATCTTAGTTTTTTTAATATTTAGTTTTAAGCTGGCTCCTTCACTCTCCTCCTTCACCCTCATCAAGAGGCTCTTTAGTTCCTCTTTGCTTTCTTTCATTAGAGTGGTATCATCCTCATATCTAACGTTGTTGATGTTTCTCCCTTCTATCTTGATTCCAGCTTGTAACTCATCCAGACCGGTATTTCTCATGATATGCTCAGCGTATAGGTTAAACAAACAGGGTGACAGCAGACAACACTGTTGTACTCCTTTCTCAATCCTGAACCAGTCAGTTGTTCCATACAGGGTTCTAACTATTGCTTCTTGACCTGCATATAGGTTTCTCAGGAGACAGGTAAGATGGTGTGGTATTCCCATCTCTTTTAAGAGCTTTCCACAATTTATTATGATCCACACTGTCAAAGGCTTTGGAGTCGTCGATGAAACAGAGGTAGATGTTTTTCTAGAATTCCCTGGCTTTCTCTATGATCCACTGAATGTTGGCAATTTGATCTCTGGTTCCTCTTCCTTTTCTAAACCCAGGTTGGACATCTGGAAGTTCTTGGTTCTCAAAACGCTGAAGCCTAGCTTGCAAGATTTTAGCATGACCTTACTAGCATGGGAGATGAGTGCAATTATCTGATGTTGAGCACATTCTTTAGTACTGCCCTTCTCGGGAAATGGGATGAGGATTGACCTTTTCCAGTCCTGTGGCCACTGCTGGGTCTTCCAGATTTGCTAACATATTGAATGTAACACCTTGGTGGCATCATTCTCTAGGGTTTTGAATAGTTCTACTAGGTGCCAAAAATTATTAGAGGGAAAGAAAGAGTTCACTCTTTTTCCTTAAGAAATGTAAGGTTTATTTCACTTTTAATCAACTTCCAAAGGACTCTTTCAGTCCTGAAAGACACATTTAAGCATCAGAGTACATATTTCATTATAGTAACAATGTATTAGTGCTTTTTTAAAAATGACTTTTTTTAAAAAATGCAGACCATTTTCAAAGCTTTTATTGAATTTATTACAATACTGCTTCTCTTTCTATGTTTTTGGTTTTTTGGCTGCGAGGCATATGGGATCTTAGCTCCCCAATCAGGGACTGAATCCACATCCCCTGCACTGGAAGGCAAAGTCTTGACCACTGAACTGCCAGGAAAGTCCCTAGGATAATACTTCTCAGGCAGATCAAAATTCTGTATCCATACATCACTTTCCCTCAGTCTGCAAATGAAAGAACTGAGGCGCAGAGACATCCACAACTTTACCAGAAGCCACAGAGCTCATTTTGTACTGCTGCGGGGCTTGGAATGAAGCCTCTGGTGACTGCCTCAGCTAACCCAGAAGCTGGCCCTGGAAGCTGATGTGCAGCAGAGAGATAGCCCAGAATCTAAGAATTTCAGGCTAATCTGCTTCCCTATCTCATAAACAAGGAAATAGCTATTTAGAAGTAGTAAGTTTTCATCTGATTACTTGAATCCCCAAGTGACCCATTTTTTTCAGCATACCTCTTAAAAAGATTAACAGGCTAAGCAGAAATGCATTCTAAAAGAGAGCCATGACCCAGTTAATGAGAAAGGAGATGCTGCTATTCCTCCATCCTCTTCTATAGGAAGGTTTCCATTAGTCAGTTTTACTGATGACCAGAATTCAGGGCTTATTACACATGAGGCATTATTCTAATTCTGGGTTTATTATGGTAAATAAGCAAGAGAATCCCTGCCCTCAAGGAGTTGATGTCTCCTGTTTGAGGAGAAGAAGAGTAAACATCTAATAAATAAGGTGATTTCAAGTCCTGATGAATGATGTAAAGAAAATAAAACACTGTAGAGAGTAACTAGAGGGGTGTTGTTTTAGCAAAATGGGTCAAGGAGGGTCTCTCTGAGGACATGGCAATCAAGTCAAAGCCTGAATGAAGACAAGTCAGTCATTAATTTCTGTGGCAGAGACTGCTGGCTGCTTCATAAGAACCATCATCCTTTCTTCTTTGGTAATCTGGTTCTAATTTTTAGCTGGGCATACTGCCACCCAGCTAAAAGACTTTCCTCGCTTCCCAGAGATGTGCTGTGGCCACAGACTAAGCTGCCCAGTAAGACAGACAAAAGCCCTATGTGGTACTCATGGCTAGTCTTGCACACCTTGAAAGGGAGAGGGCACACTCTTCTCCCCCCATTTATTCCCTCCAGTGGTCTAGAACAAGGACGTGATGGCTGGAGCACAGAAAGCCATCTTGGGAAATGAAAATGAAGTAAACACCGTGGAGAGAAAGGAAGTGCCTAGGCGGAATGTGGGTTCCAAATGACTTCATACCAGCTAGGGACTGTGGCCCTATGGATTTCTTTAGTGTAACAGAAATAAACCTCACTCATGTTTTCAAGCCACTGTTATTTTGGAATTGCAAGGATGCCAACACTATCCTAATCAGTATAGTACATTTAGTTAAATATTACACTGTTCTACCTCCAATGGAGCAACTACAGAATTACAGGAAAGATATCCACTATTGGCCCTACACATTCTACATTCAATGTAACTATGTAAACTGGCACTTGAAAATATAACACCTAGATTTTATATTAATGATATCTGCTGTGAAACAATTATTAAAATTACAAAATAGATCTGAAGAATGAAACCATGCATTAGATATCTCATTAAAAATATCTAATGTGTATCTAAGTGCTAGTCAACAAAAACCTGCTTTTAAGTAATTATTTGAATGCAAGTAAGGTTGTGATCTATTTTTAGGAAAAGAATTATGTTTGACTGAAAGCATGCTCAGTCGCTTAGTCATGTCTAATTCTGCAGCTCCAGGGACTGTAGCCCTCCAGGCTCCTCTGTCCATGGAATTTTTCAGGCAAGAATACTGGAGTGGGTTTCCATTTCTCTCCCCAGGGAATCTTCCCAACCCAGGGATGAAACTCGAATCTCTTGTGTCTCCTGCATTGGCAGGGAGATCTTTACCACTAGCACCACCTGGGAAGCCCTTTGTTTGTCTAGTTCAATAATATTTAAGAATTGTAGTTGATCTCACAAAAAAACCATCTTTACCTTTGACATATTCATAAAACTTGGCTTGGCCGTTGAAATTAAGCCCAAAGTCTGGATAGAACAATTTACCAGCTGAGAAAGTATATCACAGGCAGCTTCTGCTGACTCAGTACTACTATCAACCTACAAAGACAATTTAAAATCTTAATTTCATGAATGTTACATTAGAAAGTTACTGGCAATATAATTATTTAATAGAATTCAATATGCAACTACAAAACTGTACTTATACCTTCAACCTATAAAATAAATGAGTATTTTTTTCTCTAATACACACTATCTTGGACAAAAAAGGAAAAGCAGAGATGATGACAAATGAACTTTCTAAGCACTTTATACTTTCGAATCTTGTAAGATCACCTAAATTTTAATAACGGCATCTACATGAAGGAAGCTGAAGTTTATTCAATTGTAGCTCAAGTACTACATCTAAATCTATGCAAGTAATAACAAAGAAACAGGAAATAGTTTGGGGTAAGAATTCTGAAAAATTCATTGACTGTTTCACTATAATGAGCTAACACAAATACTAACAAAACTTAAGTCATTGCTTTTATATACTGCTTATTTTTCTTACCTTAAAGCTGACATACTGGAGATGGGCAGCATGCTTTTTAATGATCTGCTGAATGAGATCAGGATGAGTGGCGTTAAAATATGAAGTAGCTGACTGGTTCAGCTCAAACTCAAACTTTCTCCAAAGGTCAGGTATGTGGAAAACTTCATTCCATCTCCTACAGACAGAAGATGCCCGGGCTCGATCTATTAAAGGAAGATACTGAAAAACGCGTAACACTACGTGGTGAGGCAAATTCCCCCAGTCCAGAAGAGCAGCACACATGTGAGTCTGGCTGAGAGAAGGACAGCACCCAAGTTTTGGCTGTTTCACTGCAGGTGAGGACTGGAGAACTTCATTCATGCAAGGTAAACGGCTCCTCTTCATTCTGTAAACAGTAAACAATGTAAGTGGTAATTTCCCCCACATTCCCATCCCATATTTTGCTTTAATTGTATGGAATAACATCAGAAGATGAGAAGCAGTTTAAGACAATTTTGACAGGAATCTTTCTCTCATGCATTGATAGGCACTACTTAGCACCAGACATACAGAGATAAACAGGAGGGAAAAGTCAAAGTGAAGTCGCTCAGTCATGTTCGACTTGCTGCGACCCCATGGACTGTAGCCCACCAGGCTCCTCTGTCCATGGGATTCCCCAGGCAAGAGTACTGGATTGGATAGCCATTCCCCTCTCCAGGTAATCTTCCTGACCCAGGTTTCCCATCTGCCGGCAGACTCTTTACCCTCTGAGCCACCAGAGAAGCCCTCAATAGGAGGGAACTTGTTCTCAAAGAGCTAGGGTGAAACAGCAAAACACGCTGACGAATGCCATCACTGAAACTGCGGCCAGCTGATGGAAGTCTAAGGGAATGGCATGTTTCTGAGTTTGTATGTGGGAGGGGGTAGTTGGGGTAAGTTTCCAGGAAGAAAGGTCCAGGGAAGCAGTGCATGTGCCTGGTTCATTTCTAGTCAATTACTGTATTCTCACTCTCACACTGCGATTGTTCTGAGAACTCCAGGCAGGGGTGGGATTGTGGGGATCGTTGGGAGATAGAAAACATAATTAAAAGCATGGATCTGGGTGAGTCCCAGCTCTACTATTTACCAACCATGTGATCCTGTCTGAGCAAATTAATACAAGCCTCAGCTTCCTCACCTGAAAAGCAGGGAGAACTACACTGCCAGTCTCATAATGTTGCTGAGAGGATTAAAGTAACTCAAGTGCCAGCCCAGAGTAAGTGCTCAATAAATGTTGCAGTCATTGTCAAATCGTCTAATGCATTTTCCTGAACAAATTTCATTATGTTGCTTAAGCTGGAACACAGTTCCAACAAAAAGCCAAATGACCTGTGACAGTTTTCAGATGACACCCAGGACATGGGCGCTCTAGAGAAGCAGGATATGGCAGGGACAGAAGCCGTAGCAACATACTGGGTCCTCACCAGCTGATGTAAATATAGCAAAGGAATGAGCATTCTTTCCCAACAGAAAGAAAGGATGACTCCCCATCAGGTATTAGTCAGCTTGAGACAAAACTAAGTGCCAACAAAATTCAGGTCTAGATATACCCAAATATATAGGGCTATCTTGTACATATATTTTACATAAAAATTCAAAGTATTTTAAGTATACAATTTAAAATAGTGATGAAGGTAGTTCTGAATTTTATTTAACTTTGGTTGACTCTTTAACCCTCTTCTCATCCTTGAATGCTGGGAATGCATATGTGGAAGATTTGGTATCATAACTGAAACATACCTTCAAATCTAATGAAATATTTATTTAATATGTAAATATCCCTATCTGGTGAGTCACTCTGACTGATGGGAAACATTTCTTAACCACAACATAGAGATGGATCCTAGAAACAGGAATGGCCTATAAAATCACTGAGCAAAATGAAAGGTCATCTTTAGGGTTTGGGAAAGGGAAGGGGGGCAGATAGGAAAAAATTGTATCTCAAGCACTAGGCAAAAGAGCCAGTGCAGATCTTAATCTGACTAAACCAGTTTACGTGCATAACTGAGCAATACAATGTAGAATATGCACAACTGCTGACATCAATAATTCAAAGCATATACTATTTTAAAGGGTTAATTCCCTAAAACGAAATACAATGGCCCAAGGAAAGCGAAGGAATGGACATTAGATACTCACCTCTGAAGTTGAGCATATTTATTGACATTTTGCTTGTAACTTTTATTAGGAAGCCTACAGAATGGAAAGCTAAAATTTTACTAAGGAATTGCCAAAAAGTTATCCCTAACATAATCCCTCATTAAAAAAGCAGTGAAGCCAAAAATAAAACAAAGACTTCATCCAAATGCTCAGTTAGAAAACTGCCTTGTGATGCTAAATAAAGGAATTGTGCTATATATTAAAACTGCATGCAACAGGGATTAAATGTTAAACGTGTGTATCTGTTAAAATCATTAAGTTGCCAATTCACTGACAGAGTCACCATAAATAACTAAACAATAGTATGTGCCATAATTCTATCAAAAAATAACATCTTAGTTTTCTTTTTCCTCACGTGTATCAACTTTCAAAATAGAAAACCCATCCACAAACCATAAATTTTATATGAAGTAAATGTTTAGCAATGAGCATCAGGAAAATATTATCAAGTGCAAGACAAAGGGATCTTTATTAGCTTGAAAACCTTGACATAGAAATTCCAGTGTAAGCATATACAATCATTTTTCAGAACTGATCATTTTTCAAACTACCAACTTTCTTACCTAAAGAAGGCTCCCAAGTTACAGTTCACGGTGAATGAATGAAATGAAGTAACTGCTGCCATAGGGTACTCACCAATATCCTTTTGATTTCACTTCCTAGCTTGGCAAAACACCACAAAAACACATTCATCAGAATATATAAGTAAAAATTCAGCAATTTTTATGCTTAGGGCATGTATATATCATTGTATATGTTGAAAGTTTTTATCAGAAAATTACTGATTCCCAAACTATTTTCCACTCAGAAGAAAAGCTGTCCATTAAAGCAGAAAAACAAAAAACCACTAGCCTGATCAATAGAAACAGTGCAACACTCACCAGGAATTACACATGAAGCTCTACTCAAACAGAAGACTGGGATCAAATAGTCAAATGAGGGCTTTAAAAATTCACATTTTAATACAAACATATAGGGAGTTACTATAAAACAATCAAGGTAGCCCATGATTACATTTGTTAATAGGCTATGTAAATCTTTCAGTTCCAGTTTTTAGAAGCACATAACACCACTACTTTTCATACTGTTCACGGGGTTCTCAAGGTAAGAATACTGAAGTGGTTTGCCATTGCCTTCTCCAGTGGACCGCGTTTTGTCAGAACTCTCCACCAGGACCCGTCCGTCTTGGGTGGCCCTACACAGCATGGCTCATAGTTTCTTTGAATTAGACAAGGCTGTGGTCCATGTGCTCAGATTGGTTTGTTTTCTGTGACTGTGGTTTTCATTCTGTCTGCCCTCTGAAGGAGAAGGAAAAGAGGCTTATAGAAGCTCGTGATGGGACAGACTGACTGAGGGGGAAACTGGGTCTTGTTCTGATGGGCAGGGCCATGCTCAGTAAATCTTTAATTCAATTTTCTGTTGATGGGGAGGGCTGTGTTTCCTCCCTGTTGTTTGACCTGAGGCCAAACTATGGAGAAGGTAACGAAGATGATGGCGACCTCCTTCAAAACGCCCCATGCGTGTACTGCCGCGCTCAGTGCCCCAGCCCTGCAGCAGGCCACCTCCGACCCACGCCTCCACCGGAGACTCCTGGACACTCACGGGCAAGCCTGGCTCAGTCTCTTGTGGGGTCACTGCTCCTTTTTCCTGAGTCCTGGTGCACACAAGGTTTTGTTCGTGCCCTCCAAGAGTCTGTTTCCCCAGTCTTGTGTAAGTTCTGGGGGCTCTATGGGGGGTTAATGGCGACCTCTCCCAAGAGGCCTAATGCCACACCCAGGTCTACTGCACCCAGAGCCCCTGCCCCTGCAGCAGTCCACTGCTGACCCGTACCTCCGCAGGAGACGCTCACACACAGTTCTGGCTCAGTCTCTACAGGGTATCTGGGTCCTGGTGCACACAAGGTTTGTTTGAGCCCTCCAAGAGTCTCTGGTGGGTATGGGGTTTGATTCCAAACATGATTTTGCCCCTCCTACCATCTTGCTGGGGTTTCTCCTTTGCCCTTGGACGTAGGGTCTCTTTTTTGGGTGGGATCCAACATTCTCCTGTTGACGGTTATTCAGCAGCAAGTTGTAATTTTGGAGTTTTCGCAGGAGTAGATGAGCACACATCCCTCTACTCCACCATCGTGGAGAAAATATTGGCTTAAAACTCAACAATCAGAAAACTAAGATCACGGCATCTGGTTCCGTCACTTCATGACAAATAGATAGGGAAACAGTGGAAACAGCGGCTGACTTTATTTTTCTGGGCTCAATAATCACTGCAGATGGTGACTGCAGCCATGAAATTAAAAGACGCTTACTCCTTGGAAGAAAACCTATGACCAACCTAGACAGCATATTAAAAAGCAGAGACATTACTTTGCCAACAAAGGTCTGTCTATTCAAAGCTATGGTTTTGCCAGTAGTCATGTACAGGTGTGAGAGGTGGACTATAAAGAAAGCTGAGTTCCGAAGAATTGATGCTTTTGAACTGTGGTGTTGGAGAAGACTCTTGGGAGACCCCTAGACTGCAAGGAGATCAAACCAGTCAATCCTAACGGAAATCAATTCTGAATATTCATTGGAAGGACTGATGCTGAAGCTGAAGCTCCAATATTTTGGCCATGTGATGTAAAGAACTGACTCATTAGAAAAGACCCTGATACTGGGAAAGACTGAAGGCAGGAGGAGAAGGGGAAAACAGAGGATAAGATGGTTGGATGGCATCACCGACTTGAAGGACGTGAGTCTGAGCAAGCTCCGGGAGTTGGTGATGGACAGGGAAGCCTGGTGTGCTGTAGTCCACGGGGTCGCAAAGAGTTGGACACGACTGAGCAACTGAACTGTTCTACAGTTACAATAATTAAATAAGCAGACAGAGCTTTTATTATTTATCATTCCCATATGAAAGTAGTTTGACTAGTCTGCTGTTAACATAAGCGTCTGTGGTTTTTAAATTTTTCACCTGTATTGACAGACATAATTGATTTGTTCACGATTGATTCATATTTTCTTTGAGGTTTGATCAATTTCTGTGACTTTTCAGAGTTAGAAGCAGTCTATGGACACAGAAGAAAATAATAACAGGTCTACACCAGACATGGCAAATAGATGGGGAAGCAATGGAAACAATGACAGAACTTTATTTTCTTGCGCTCCAAAATCACTGTGGACAGTGACTGCAGCCAAGAAATTAAAAGAAGCTTGCTCCTTGAAAGAAAAGCAATGACAAACTTAACAGCATATTAAAAAGCAGAGACATTACTTGGCTCTAAAAGGTCCATACAGTCAAAGCTATGGTTTTTACAGTAGTCATGTATGGATGTGAGAGCTGGACAATAAAAAAGGCTGAGCGCTAAAGAATTGATGCCTTCAAACTGCGCTGTTGGAGAAGACTCTTAAGAGTCCCTTGGACAGCAAGGAGATCAAACGAGTCAATCCTGAAGGAAATCAACCTTGACTATTCATTGGAAGGACTGATGCTGAAGCTGAAGTTCCAACCCTTTGGTCACCTGATATGAAAAGCCAACTCCCTGGAAAAGACCCTGATGCTGGGAAAGATTAAAGACAGGAAGAGAAAGGGACAGCAGAGGATGAGACGGTTGGATGGCATCACTGACTCAATGGACATGAGTTTGAGCAAACTCTGGCAGACAGGGAAGGACAGAGAAGCCTGGGGTGCTGCAGTCCAGGGGGTCGTAAAGAGTCGGACACAACTGAGTGACTGAACAACAACAACAATACCAGGATAAAACTCATTGTCTGGGCATCACGGATAAGTGTCATAAAGTAAAAATAAATAAATGCACTCAGCTACTTTTTGCAGGCCTAACTCAGTTACACATATCGGGTGGGGGAGACAACTTCTTAATAATCCACTAAAAACTTCTCTTCTATCCCTAATACCCACCACCAGCCAGCTCTCTTCTCTCTGAACCCTACTCCTAAAACAGAGCTCTGGAGGACAGACGGAGAATGAATTAGAGCTCATCATCCCCAGTGTGATTTCCAGACTGCCAAGTGTTGCTCTATCATACAAACCCTATCTTCCAGATGATGGCAAGGTCAGCTCTCTCTCCTTTACATTCTACTCCAGGAGGAAGCAGAGGGGAGCCACCTGGGACACTTTACAAAGGGAGAGAGAGCTAAGTCAAGTGATTCACACTTTCCTAACCAAATGACACACAGTTTTATTTACCACAGAAACTTTTCTACTGAGTTATCAATATGGCTAATTCTGTGTATGCACGCCATGCTTTATGCTAGAAAACACTGAAGAAATCTGCAAAGGGTATATAAATAGGGACTCTCTACCTAAGACCCAGAAGTAGGCATTGTGAAGGTACCTAACTCAAATCAGCTCACTGGAGTTTTTAAGATCAGATGAATTACTTTCCTGGTGGCTAAAGGAACTTGACTGCTGTTTTAAGAGTCACCAAATAGTGAGGATTGGTGGAAGACAAAACCAGAATTTAGGACCCCAGCAGGTGGTAAGCCACAATTTGAAACATGCAGAAATGAGAAAAATGGACAGTGATCACAAGCACAAAATGGGTTTATCAGCACTTGGGGAAAAAAATGTAACAATGATTCAAAGTCCACTTGGGGGCTTCACTAACCACCCTAACCCAGTTTCCCTTTTTAAAATATGCTTATTAATTTGGCAGATAGGTGACCCTGTGAATCAGAGCCTCTAAAAGTATCTAGGAACTCTCCCACAGTATTCTTGAGGGAAAGATAATCAAAGACAGGTTACTAAACATCCAAAGCCCGCCTGGAAGTAGTAATGAAAGCAACTATCTTCTGCACCATCACCAGGTTCTTCCAGATTGATGCAATGAATACACAGAACGCACTTCTAAAAGCTTCAAGTGTTTAAGAGTCACCACAGTAGAAATACTGTGTAAATACTACAGATAAAGACTAAGGATTTAAAACTACCTAAAAAATGAGACAAATTTGATGGAAGCAACAAGGTGAAAATGAACAAAAATAATGAGCAAATGTCCTTAAAACGACGTTTCTAAAATGGCACACGGAGAAATTAGATTGCTCCCCCCACACGCAGGCGACCTCTGTTAGGAGGTCTGAAATCCTAGTAGTCAACAGTGCAATGGCCAGAGAGGTGTGGCCTGGACAGGGGAGCAGAAGATTCATTTCAAAATATAGTTTTGAAACTTGACTGCTTGACAGACTACTAATAAAAGAGTAAATTGTGCCAAAGGGCAAACTCTTCCCACTGAACATATCCCAGAGGACAAAATATAACTTTTTACAAATGTTGTCAAAAATATTTATGTTCTTTACTACCCACATGACCTCTGAGTTCCATTCTAAATCTAAAATCTACAAGTTCTTAAAACATGAAAGTCAAACTACAGTATCATCAAAGTTCCAACAGGACATAAATAATTGGTATGTATTTATGTCAAACAAATCTTTATTAAAGCAGTGATTGCCAACTTTCTAGTGTTGTGACTCTTAAAAATTTGAACTGGGCAGTGTGTTTAAAGCCTTGAAACTGGGGTGGGGGAGGGTCTCAGCTGTTCCCCTCTCTTAACCCTCCCCACTTCTCCTCCCAACTCCAAAGAGAAAAGGGAATGAAGACTGCAAGCCAGGCTTTCTACAGGGAAGGCTTCTGAAATGGGGAGAGTCTCTTCTCGGTGTTGCTTACACCCAGGGATCTTAATTAATACAAAGAATTCAAGAAGGCATTTTGCAACATTTTTCTGAGCAAATAATCAGTTTTTCCACTTCATATTTTGGGGGAAATTTCTTGGCACAGATAACTAAAGACAAAACCAGTAACACCTAAAAGGGTAGAGATTATTCCAAATCACAGGGAAAGCTTGCGTCTACTTTTCTCCGGGACATGCCTTTGTAAATATAAATTCTTAACAAGCTCCTCCTGTAAGGGAAAACACGTCAAGTCGTCGCGCAAAAGCGAACGCGTAACCAGTAATCATACAGGTAATGAAAACATCAACTAATACGCGTTTAAGAGAGATTAAAACGAATATAATCCGTTCAGAGCTTACCCTCCAAAGATGAACAAAATGACTAAATTCGGGAAACCCGGGTCCCGGGCTGAGCTCTGCAGAAAAACCACCGTGGGAAGAAACGAACAACCTAAAGCTGTAAAACCTCAGACAGAAGACC